GGTTCAGCATGGAGCTTCCCGTTGTAACGGGGGATCAGGGCAGGAGCAGCTCCAGGGAAAAACAAGTCCAGTGCCGATTACAGCGGTCACGTGCTGGCAGGGGGAAGGGAGGCACAAGGCCACGGCTCAACTGACCTACTAAAATAAAAGCTTTAACTCTGAGCCCAGCGCTCAGAGCACCAGCAGCCAGGAGCCACGCTCGGATGGGGAGCCCTCAGAGGACTCCAGCTCTCAGGGTACGACAGAAACAGCTCTGAGCCCAGCGGCCTTTTAGGCAGCGGCAAGAGCAGAAAGGCCTTAGGGACAGATCCGCCGGCGCTGGGCTGTCTCCTCCCAGGGAAGGGTCCCAAATCCAAACAGAAACAGGATTTTTACCCCCACAGGCGAGGTGAGGGCCACGGAGCTCTGCCCCGCAGCAGGCGAGGCGCGCTCACGCCTTCCAAACAATGCAGAGCAGGATGGAAAGCTCCTCGACACCACAGCCCTTAGCAGGCTCTAATGCCCACAGCCAGGATCCGGGTTATCCAGGATCAACTTCTCCCCCAGAAGCCACCGATTCAACGGACCGGGGCCACGATGCAGCTCCTCCTGCAGCGCTGCGCAGCTGCACGCCCAGGTCCCCTCCTCAGCAGGGCCAGAGATGGAGCCAAGCCCCCGCTGCCCATCAAGGCATGCCGAAGGGGAACCAGCAGCACCATGCAGGAGGATGAAAGAAGCCAGGGGAGTTTCGAAGCCCTGCTCTGTTTTAAGCTGTTTAACCAGTGGCCACGTGGTGTTTTCAGCCCAGGGAAGTCCCTGCGGGGCTCTGGCACTCAGCAAGCAGCCGCTTAAGGATGACTGAGCGCACACGGGGAAGTGTCACTACCTGGACCTTGACCCTGCTCACAGCTGGGCAAAGATCAAGCCCCACAGGGAAAACACCGCTAGCCCATGCAGAACAAGCCCATCCCACTGCTCATCCCCAGGGAAGAGCTTTTCCTCATGCTCTGGGCCCCGCAGCACGCTCTGGGGCAGATCCCAGGGTCTATTTATCCGAGGACGGGGCAAAGGGTGACTGCAGGCAGGGACAGCAGCCCGCTGCCTGCTCGCTGCAGGCAGGGGGGGCTCGAGGCCGCAGACGCACCTCTTCCAGTTTGTCAATGATCATCGCAAAAGCTTTGAAGATGGCATTGGTGGGTCCAGCGAGGGTGATGATCCGTTCGGGGCAGTTCCCTTCTGAGATGTTAATGCGAGCACCGCTCTGCAGGAGGAAAGCGAGCAGACGTCAGGGCCCCCACGTGGACCCCCCCAAAAGCAGTGGCGGGTCTATGTGCCCAGCTCGGTTCTGCGTGGGGCAGCCGGGGTCCCCCGGGATCCACCGCCAGTGATGAATCCTCCCTCCCTCCCCGCTCGGCTCCGGGCAGCCATCTTAGCCTCCTCGGCTTCCTGCCCCGGCCCTGCCTACACCTCCCAGCATGCCTCGCGCCCGCTGGCTCCCATCTGCTGCCGGTGCCGCTGGCACCGCACTGCCTGCAAATTCCTTTTAAGGTCCGCGCCACCGCGGCCCCGACGGATCCCACCCAAATCCCCCCGACCCTCCTGGCCCCGGGACTCACCTCCTCGCGCATCTTCTTCACGGACTCCCCTTTCTGCGCGGAGGAAGAGAAGGGAGAGGCGTTAGTGCGGCCGTGCTGTGCCGGGCAGTGGGGGACAGGGGAAAAGGGAGGCAGGGCGAGGGGGTTTGTTGCTCACTTACCTTCCCAATGATGCTTCCCACCTCCTGGGATGGAAACAAAAGCAACAATTAGCCAGTGCTTAAAAAAACTCCAGGAGTCCCAAGCTTCAACAAGCCCTTTTCACAGCCAAAACAAGTTGCTCAGGACCCCAGCTGTCCCCCTGTAGAGGTACCAACACCTTGCTCCCAGCCGAGCTTTCCATCGGGTCACTTTTCCCCCCCCATCCTGGGCTGTTATTTTTATTGATGTGCTGCGCTTTTAAAGCACCGCCTCGCTCGTCATGAGATATCCAGGAGCCGGCCCGGTGCCAAGGAGCACATTCCTAACACCGCTGCCTAATGGCTGCAATAACGAGGCAGCTCCGAGACGTCCGACCGATATTTACTGCCGTGGAAGCACTCAGCCTCCATCCGCTCTGCCGGAAGGTCCACCCCTGCGGCGAGTGAGGGGGTTTCGGCACGGCCCCGCGTCCCGCGGACACGTACCTTTCCGTGCATGAGTAGTCGGATGGTGAGCGTGACATTTAAACCACCTTCAATGACACCGGTGTCCATCTTGAGCTGCGTTGGGTTGAGTCAGGCTTCGTCAGTGGTCAGATCTTTGGTCACTGGGCGAGTGGAGCTAGGAAGGAGAGAGAGGTTGCGTTTGAGGGGCTCTGCCAACCCTCCCCAGCCAGTTTCAGACCCATCCCAGGGGGATTCAAGGCCCATTATCTTTCCTTCTCCCTCTGAATATCCCCCTGGCAGTTTTAAGGCCATGCTCCTCTCCAAGCAGCAATCAGGAAAGCCGATCCGTGGCGGGTCAGCTCCCCAACAGGCTGCTCCTCCTGCCAGGCGTTTTCCAGGGCGGATGGTCTGAACTGGCACAATCCCACCTGCATCGAGCAACAGCCAGAGCCGCAAAGGTCTCGCTCATCCCCTGCCTCCTTCCAGCCCCACTCCTCACAGAGGCTTTGCCTACAGCTCCAGGAAACTTGCCTCTACTTGCGAGCCCCACACCTTAATCTAGATTAGGAGCTTTCCTCCACAGCTGTGTGTGGACACACACCAGACAGAGCGACCGCCCTGTCTCCCTTTGGTTTAACCCACTTAGGGAACAAGGCTGTTGAGAAAAAAAAAAAAGAAAAAATAACTTATCTGCACCCTGAGCCTGCGTGGGGAGGCCTTTCAGACTGGTTTCCAAGTTGATTTACTCAAACCAGATAAGGCCACATGAGCACACGATCATGTTTCAAACAACCTGCGGCCTGAGTCGACAGCAGTTGCAAAACACCGCAACCGGCCAGCAGCTCGGCTGGTCAGCCATTTAACTTTAAAAATAAATTAAATAAACTAAATTTCAGCTCCTTTTTTTTTTTTCCAGTCCAGCTGGTCACCATCCCATCAAAGTTTAACCAAGCCCAGGGAAAGATGAAGCCGGGGCGAGGGCAGGGGGATTAATCTGGCAGGGGACCGTGCCAAGCAGGCAGCACTGCCGCGCTCCGGGTTAATGCTCTTTTAAGGGGAAGCCACTGGCACGGAGGATTTTTTTTTTTGCCATAGCGAGGAGTTACAGCTTCCATAAAACTCAGCCTGACAACCCGTCGGATCCAAAAAAGCGCCCGTTTGCCTAGTTTGGAAAGAAGGGCTCAAGATCCCAGCCCGGCAGCGACAGAGCGAGGAGGAGAGTCTAGACCCGAGCCCACGAGTTGGTTGTTTACGAGTTTCCCAGTTCACCGGAGGTGGCAGGAGCCTCGCTGGCACCCGCCGCCGTCTCTCCGGCTCCGAACCCACTCCTCCTCCTCCCACCAGTTCAGCGTCCCAGTTCGCCTTCGTTAGCATTAATTTGCTTTCCTAGCAGCGGTTTTGCCAGTCGAACGAGCTTGGGTTGGTTACGGGGCCACCTCGCAGCCTGCCGGGGACAAAAGGAGCCGACCAAACCTGCCGGGGGGTTACGCAAAGGGAGAAGCGAAGCCGTGCGGGGCAAGCCAAACTTCTCCTTACCTCCGTCTGGACAGGCAGCCCTGCCTGTCCCCACAGTGCACGTGGAAGGCCGGGCCCCTGCCTGTACCGGGATCAAAAACCCACCCGTGGGCCTCCCCACTCAGAATCCCAGCCCCAAACTGGGACCGTTTTGGTAGGGGGAACTGGTTGCCGGAAGACATTTGGCTCCAAAACCAGCTCATCCCTGTGGCCAGGGAGGGGGGGGTGTTTAAAAATAAGCCCGGGGCTGGAGATCCCGGTTCGTTGGCCCAGGGGGGAATGCGGGGGCCATGGACGGACCCCCGGGCCCGGGATTGAGCCTCCAGACCGGGCCCGTCCAGAAGGGGGGACGAGGGGGGGATCCCCAGTCCCGGGATCGCGGCTCTAAACTGGGCCCGGACCCCGGAGAGGGGAAACCGGCCGAGTCCCGGGAGCGCGGCTCAGCCCCAGCTCGGTCCCGAGGAGCTGGGGGCGGTTCTGGAGCCCAAACCGGGCCGGAGACGGCGGGGGGGAACCGGCTCCGGGGCTCTAAAATCGTCCCGGCATCGGGAGGGGAGCGGGCAGAGCCCGGCCCGGGGTCGCGGCTCCGAACCGGGCCGGTCCCGGGGGGGTGTGGGGGGTCCCCATCCCATAAACCGGGCCGGGAAGAAAAAAAAAAACAAAAAAAAAAACAAAAAAACCCAAACCCTCGGGATGGCGGCAAAACCGGGCCCGGCAGTTAAAAAAAAAAACAAAAACAAAACACAAAAGTGAAGGGAAAAAAAGCACAAAAAAGGAAAAAAAAAAAAATCCCCCCCTCC